TGAAGTATCTCTCAGAAGCAGTCTTTGTCTTTTACACCAAGCATCTTGATCAGTTCATTAGAGAGAACAACAAACTCTGGGGAGATTTCTGCAGGAGAAAGAAGGACCGTGATGGTAACATTTTGGATGCACTGGAGTTGAACACACATGGGGATGACATGACTATCCAAGGAATTACAGTTCCCATGAACAAGAGAACAGTCATCCCTGAACCTGAACGGCATTTCTCGTTTTCCACAAAGATGATGATCATGGCAATCGATCTGTATGAAGATGAAGCACCTGCTAGCTTCAGCCATTTCACAGTTTTTGCTTTGAACAAGCTTCGACAATTTGTGGATAGCAGAAAGGAATTGACAGCTCAATCCTACAGATTCTTTGTTGAACATGCCTACAATCAATTCTTTCAGCATGAAGCATTCCATCAATCTGCAAGAGCAAGGACAAAGGTCAGGGAATGCGGTTCAGGTGACTTCCACACATCTACAAAACTCGATGGCTACATCTGGGTAGCTGGAAAGGACAAGATTGCTCACATCCCAGAATCAGAGCAACAGAATGTGGATATGGAAGATCACGATGATGATGATGCTGAAGATGATTTGGAGTTTTTGCCAAGACTACAAGTTTTTGTCAGGAAAGAGGAGGAAAAGGCATCAGGCTCTCAGGAAAGAGAGGAAGAAGGTGTATGCTCTCAAGAAAGAGAGGAAACACAACCACAACAAGAAGATGAGGTATTACCAGATGCAAATCCTCGAAGAAATATGGAAGATCGACAGGGACTGTTTTTAGTCAGGCAACTCAAACCAGAGCACAGGAGGATCCTACAGGATATTACACTTGCAGGCCAATCAATCCTCACAGGAGATGATCTTGAAGGAGGTCAACCCCTTGAACGTGGTGACATAAGCTTCTTCTCATTATGGTTGATGATGTCGGCATTATCAGATGCTTCCTTTTCAACATTTATGGAGCAGTATGCACCTATGATGGGTTATGAGATCTCTTACGACAAGTATCATGAGTTCAAACTGGATATTGACCAAGTTCTCAAGGAGAATGAACACCTTGGCGCAGAAAATTTCTTTGGAGCAGAGGATCCTGATTTGGTGGACGATGATCCAGACACTCCTCTTCCAGATCTTCAAAGACCAGGCGCAGGTGATCCTGAGTACAAACATACTATTGAAAGTTTGAACATTGAGGACAAGCATATCATTTTGGAAACTGATGATGACAAATTGGTTGAGTGTACATTGAAATGGATCAGTATGTGCAATCAGAATGTTCAACAAAAGATCAAGGACAGTTTTGTCAAACCAGAAGAACGACAAGAGAAAGAAGAGGATGAAGAAGAGGAGATTGCTGTCGAAGAAAAAGAAGAAGAAAAAGACACACAGGAGCCACATGTCCCAGCTGAAGGCTCTTCAGAGAAGGAGGAATCAGCTCCACCTGAACGCTCCTCAGAAAAGGAGGAATCAGGGGAGAAGAAAATAGACATTCAAGATGATGAGACAGCTCCTGAAGTGAAACCTGCAATTCGACTTTACTATGGTCAAGATATCACTGGAAACGAAGATGATTCAGTTTTTCGAAAATTGAAGGATTGTTTTTCAGATGATTACCATGGTGAATGGGCAGGATTTTACAACAAAGGTTATCCAGCGTCTTCGAAGCATCGACACATGTTTTGGCATGTCAAGTACAGAAAGACCATGTCTCCACATCAAGATTATTGGTACCATCTTACAGATGACCAGTTGATGGTTGAGTACATTGCCAGACACAAGGATCAAAATCCACAACTAGAATTACAAGAACTCAATCAGCGCATTGAATATGGTTGTAGTGATCCTAGGATGCATCCTCTTCATCAAGACAAGGCAGAAAGATCCTCAAAGGAAGCAGAACAGAGGATTGATGACGATTTTGGAAATCTCACAAAAGTACTCCAAGATTACGTTGAGGAACACAAGGTCTTGCCTTACTGTATGATTTTGCATAGCTTAGCTTACAGGTACTTAGGTGGAGGCCTATCAGACCCAACGTACAAGGATGCTGAATTTCCATACAGATCCTCTCCACAGATAACAGCAATGTTTTGGAATTTGGGAAACTGGTGCGGAAACAGATTTGAAAAATGCCCGGTTCCAGAAAGATTTCAACAATTCATTCCACACATTGACTACACCATCGATGAGGATCATGAAAAATTTGATGAAAACAAATCACAGTTCAACAACTACTTCATCAATGTCATCAAGAACTTTGGAGGACATCTTTTCATGAATTGCGAGGCTGGTTCATTGTATCCTCACAGAGAAAGACTCAACGAGGTTGACTTCAAAACTTGCTTCAATGACTATCATGACTTGATGGTGGCAGCTCGCCTTGGAAAGGATGGCTATATCAAGCAAATTGCTGGATATCACACAGATGACAACGACACACGAGTTCGACAAGTCTCATGGGCAATCTTTGAAGTATCTTGGGGAAAGACAAAGGATCGAGATACAGATGAGATTGTTGACTTGACAAGAGCTAGGATGAGAATGACACGTGTGTGCGTTTATCACGTCGGACAGAAGTATGCATCAGACTCTGCTGGGATTGTTGGTGAGTGCTTAGCTGTTATGGCTTTTGAGTGTGCCAGATATCAAGTTGACTTCATCGCAGGTGATGGAAACAAGGCATGCTATTACAGCACACCAAAATCCCCAGGTGTCCCTACATACCAACACAGCCTTATCCAATTCTGGATCAACAGAATGGTAGGTGTTGCAACACAAGCCATGCGCAAGTATTTTGATTCATCTTGCCCTCCGATCAGGGTCAAGCATTTCATTTCTTGCAGTTATCGTGACTTGGATTTTCTTGCAACGCACTTGGATGGCATTACAACAGCAACATACACCGACGAGATCATGAACAAGACACATGGTAAAGGTGATTGTTGTATGTTAACAGTTGTTGAGTGGGGTCATTCACGTTTGATGTGTGAGGAACACCTAGAAGACTTTGAGGATGAAGATCACATGAGCTATGTGGGTGAATTTTACTTCAAGGTAAATGAAACTTGCTTACATGGTGATCACAACATCTTCATGGTTGCCCCAAATGATCGCGATGCTCATAATCCAATTCTTGTCCATCTTGATCCTTCTGATATGTCATGGAATGAACGACATCATTACAAACAGGCTTTCAAGAAGAAGCAGTATGCAGATACAAGAAAGGAAAGACAGAAGGAGAAAAAGAGAAAGGCATATGAAGATCAAGCATCGACGTATCAGGGCAACACAGAGTGGGGTGGATCCTCATCTTCTTCGTCCAGACCATGGAGAACAAGCTTTTGGCTATGAGTGAGTGTATACTTCTTTAAATGAAGATAACACAGCATGAGAGGCCGTGTACAGTTTTTCTGTGCGTTCAACTTATTTCACGAAAATGGCATATACTCTTTTAGATAGAGATAATGCCACAAGTGTCTGAACTTCAATTTAATGTAAAATAGAGACTCTTGTAGATAGAGATACTATATACATTTATCTCCATGAACCATCCGGCGAGCAGACCACTCCGAATGGAGCGAACTCCAAAAATTACCAACTTCGATTGCAGTCCATTGTTTGCTTGAATGAGCAACTTTGGAGATCCGCTATTTCCGTTTATTTCGTGATTTGGTCAATTGTTTTTCGTATGACCTGAATTTCTGAATCTTGCGAACCCGAACTTTTCAAGTCGAACTTTCACCGGTAGAGCAAGGCATTTTGCCTATGGAGAGACCGTGCGCGAAGCACCATTGGTCGCTACTGGAAAAATTAGCGAATCCGCTGTTCTTTTTCGACATGTCCTTAGGACATTCGCTGCCTTCACGTGTTTTTCAATTCGAAGCCACTGCGTAACTCCGGTTTCTTTTGCTATTTGCCATTGTGTAGAGAAGTCAGGAAGATACTCTTAATACCAATTGGGTACGGCAAGGCGTAGTGCTCTACTCATTGCTTTTGAATTTGTGCCTGTGTTTTTGTTTCGACCTAATACCTACATAGGTACATGCATGAGTATTGAGCACATTTATATGCGCCTTCAAGGCTCAAGAAAGAGGTATATAGAGTAACCCTGTAGACAAGCACAGACCAGCAACAGGCTGAGTAAAACAAGTGCTGTCATTGGGGAAGACGCCTTAGCTGATCTTGAAGTAGACGCTAGGGCCCCTCTTCAGCCCTCCCCCCCAATCCCCCCCCCCGCTTTTTTTTATTTAAATTCAAGCTTGCACACATTTCAATACACTACTTTGGTTAGAATATATATATATATACATTGTATATATATATTGTATATATATATATATTGTATATATATATATATATATTGTATATATATATATTGTATATATATATATATATTGTATATATATATATATATTGTATATATATATATATTGTATATATATATACCAACTACTAACAACACTAACAACACTAACAACACTAACACTAAACACTAACAACACTAACAACACTAACAACACTAACGGTAACAACAACAACAACAACAACAACACCAACAACAACAACAACAACAACAACACCAACACCAACAACAGTAACAGTAACAACAAACAACTGTTGGAATGTCAGCCTTCAGCTCCAAAATCCTGCAAGTACTGTGAGGAATGTAGCTGTAAAATGTTGCACATACGGTGGAAATGCAGATTCCAGCTCAAAAATGCTGCAAAGAGCATGGAAAATGGACAGAACATGCTGCAAACTGTTGCAAATACCGTGGAAAATGCAATGGAAAATGAGAGGTTCGAACTCAAAACCGTGCACATACCGTGGAAATGGCAGTTTCCAGCTCCAAAATGCTGCAAATAGCATGGAAAATGGTGAGAACCGGAAATCCAAAAAAAATTCCCCAAACTAAAAAAAAAAAATCCCCACCCTTTCTCACCACTGGTACCGGCCCCCTGGGCGTCGACCGCCCTCTCTTTTGTGAAGGAGCTGGAGGTGCTGAATACGAAGAAGCAGGAGACAAAGTCTCCAAAGGCCAGCCAAAAGGCGGGGATCCGCCGAATCCAAAGTCACCACCGAGAAGACCGAAGTTCCCCAGGCGTCCAAAGGCTGCGCCCGAAGCGCAGCCGACAGCGCCACAGTGACACTGTTGAAGTGCGGGGCCGTCCCCGGTGCATGTAGTTTGCCTACCCCCCGGAAAAGGAACAAAAAACAGGGGAGGTCAAAGGCATTGAATTCCGTATCAGCCAGTAGTACAGATGATAAAGTTTGCCTTCCTCCGCCTGGAGGTCGTAGCCCACCTAGAGTAGAATTCAACCGTGCCGAGGTCTTAGGTTCAGATCCTAGTGCCAACGTGCCAGATGCCGCTGAACCTCAATCCAAGCATTTGCATGAAGACCAAGGCAATTCCATGTTCAAAGTGCTGCGTGATACCGGCCTCTCATACCCTAAATGGTGCACTGAGTTGGTGTCATTAGTACTTAGAACTAGGACTCCTTTTGCTGCTTTCCTTGCCACTTGCATCCGCTTGACTCGTGCCTCTAGGAATCCCAAGAGGTCGACACCGACTTTTTACCCTGTGCCTCTGCCGTTTTTTGGTATTTTCCACAGGATGCCTTCAGGAAGCTCTGCCAGCGTTAGGCATACTCGCCATGTTTCTCAGGCCATCCACACTATCATTTGTGCTCTGAACTTTTGGTATGCAGGTGGCCGCCATGGTGATCTCGAACTCCTGAGGAGGGAGCCCAATGCCCAGCATCGTGCCCTGTATGCTAGGCTACGCTCCTTGATCGAGTCGGACAGCCCTGCCAGTATTGCATCCGTGCCGAGTGCTGGCAGAAGGTTTCCTGAATTAAGTGCAAGACTTTCTGAGCTATCGGATTTCATGACTGCAATAGGACCTACCTCTAATCCTTATGAGAAGAGCTTCGCTGGCTTTGGAATAGAGAAGGATGACACAGTAGATGCCAAGCTGCAGCCCTATCATGATTTGGATCCCAGCATGATAAAGATTCACGGTTGGGGACAGTGGGACCGTTCCGTTTTCCTGGAGGATGACCTCTACATGCCGTACGCAGAGCCTGATGTCCTACTGCATGGTAGGGAGACCGCCGCTGGTCCAAAGATTAGGGATAAGCCCGAGGCTGCCGCGGCTTTAGCACACAAGTGGGATTCCCACAATCTGCTGATGCTACATAAACGCCCAGTGCATAGGTGCAGCCCTGTCCGAATTTTTGGTGCCTATAAGGATGCAGTAACCCATAGACAGATAGGTGACAGGCGGGGACGTAACGCCATGGAATGTAAGGTGTCTGGACCTAGTAGTGAGTTGCCAGCAGGACCTGACTTTGCAGAACTTTTGATTGATCCTCGAACTGAGCGGATATCACTGTCCATCACAGATCGTAGGGATTTTTATCATCAACTGAAATGCACTGAGTCTAGAGCACTTGCCAACACCATAGGTCCATACGTGCCCGAAAGCCTAGTGAGTGATACCCATGCCTATGCCGCCTTTTTGATAGGAGACAGCCGGAGGAAGTACGAGCGATCCCAGCACGGCGACAGACTCGAGGATTTTTCTGATGAAGACCTGATCGAGCTGCCGGGCGGTAACATGTGGATCGCCTTCCGATCTGTCCTGCAGGGGGATCACCTAGGGGTAGAGGTTGCCACGCAAGCTCACGCCAATCTGCTCCGGAGCTATGCCCTCCTGCATGAGGATTGCAGGGTAACTGCTTCTAGGCCGCTTAGAAGTTCGAAGATAGCAGAAGGGCTTGTGATCGATGATTACTTTGCCGTGTCAATCCAGCCAAAGCTTTGTTCCAGCCAGCCCAGGGCCTTGCTGTGCTATGAGACAGCTCAAAGAGCTTACCAGGACTTCGATATACTTGGATCCCCTCAAAAAGATGTAATAGGCGCATGCGAAGGTAAGGTCATAGGGGCCTATATAAATGGGGCCCCCCGTGCCACAAACAGGAACCTTGTGACAGTGGCACCTGCCGAGAAGAGGATTGCCTTGTCATATTTGACCTTGCTGACCTGTCAGCTTGTGGGAACATCTGATGCGCTGCACCTTTGCACTTTAGGGGGATGGACCTCCATCTTAGGATACCGTAGGCCCCTCATGTCCGTGTTGCAGAAGTCCTTTCACCTAGTTAGCGCTGTAGACTTCGATAGGAACCATCCCAAAGTAGTCCCACTTCCCAGATCCGTTGCCAACGAGATGACACTCCTTGCAGTTCTGATGCCACTTGCTGTGATTGACCTTACAGCTCAATATGATAAACATATCTATTGCAGCGATGCTTCTTGCCAGAGAGGTGCTGTTCTCAAAGCCCAGGTCAATGACAGGATTGCTGAGATCCTGTGGAAGTGTTCCCGTTCGAAAGGGGCATACAGCAGGCTCTTGTCGCCTCTCGAGGCGCTGCTCCAGCGGCTGGACCTGGACACAGGTGAGAGTATGCAGATGCGGGGAGTCTCGCCAGATAGACCCCTAGCTTTCAGTTTTGAGTTCCTTGAAGTTTTTGCCGGCGCTGCCAGGGTTACAAAGTTCATCAGTGAGCTAGGCATCGTAGTAGGCCCTCCTTTGGACTTGAGCCTCAGCAAGGAGTACGACCTCACGAATAGCAGGGTCATTGAGTGGCTGACTTTTCTGGTAAGTGAGAAAAGGTTGCTAGGCTTCATGTTAAGCCCACCATGTACCACTTTTTCAATCATGAGAAGACCGCGCTTGCGCAGTGCCGAGGTTCCATATGGTTTCGAGCCTGGTGATCCCCAGACCGCGACAGGAACTGCCCTTGCGCAGAGATCGTTTCAAGTTGTCGCCGTTGGAGATAGGAATGCAAGCTGTGGGGTTTTGGAGACACCGCACTCTTCCTACATGAAGCACTTGCCTTCCTGGAACCACCTTAGAAACCTGGAAACTGTTAGCGAAACACGGTGCGATTCATGTAGGTACGGCAGCCCTCACCTGAAAAGTTTTCGTTTCCTTGGCCTTAGAGTTGACCTTGATGAAGTTTCGCTGAGGTGCCAATGTACTTCCAAGCATTTACTGATTGAAGGTAAGCTCACCAAAGGTTCAGCTACCTACACTGATCTTCTTGCGGCTGCATTGGCCCGCACCATTGCTAGCGGGATCAGAAGATGCAAGAACGACCTTTCCAAAGTGAGTGAAGTTCCCGTGAAGGGACTCGAAAGCCAGCTAGTCAATAGCTTGATGATATCCTCCAAATGGGAGGTCGTAGCCTCTTGGAAGTTCAGGAAGGAGAGCCATATAAACATACTAGAGGAAGCAGCAGTCTTGAAACTTTGTCAGAAGATAGCATCTTGTGGAAAGCCGCTCAGGGTCACCCTTATTGTTGACTCACACGTTGCTCAGGCATCCACCAACAAAGGACGCACGTCCTCTTTGGGACTTGGCTCCATCTTGCGAAGGGTCACTGCACTTTGCTTAGCCGCCGGAATCTACCTCCATGTGGCCTATATACCAACACGATTAAACTGTGCGGATGACCCCACTCGGTCATGCGTTCTGCGATCACCTGGAGAGAGTTTTGACTTAGACAGCTGGAGCACCGATGAGCTTTTTGCGTTAGGGACTTTCAATAAACTCAGGAAGTGGGCCTCCAACTGGGTCCGTTTGATGCTCCGACTGCTCGGTCCTCAGGTGCTTAGCTTCCATGACCGGTCCATGTTTCGTCAAAGATATGGTTCTGCAATAGGATATAGTAGGCATGACCATGTAAGATATAATGATGTCCAAGCACAAAGCGACGTGGACCTTGAAGACACGGAGAGCGTTGAGTTCGACAGCACCTTAGGTTTTCCTGGAGAAGGACCTCCTTCTCACGATACCACATGTCTCATTCCACAGTTGCAGGGTAATAACCTTAGGCTTTCCTGACCTTGTCGCCTGGATTTTTTGAATACAAGGTCTGCTGGATTTTATTCGCCTAGCCCAACGCAGGATACCTGTGGCTGGTGCGCAAAATATCTGCCGGGTCTCCCCCTTCGTCCTGTCCTGTCTGGTCCTCGGTGTTGTTGGTCTTTCCTACTGCTGTTCTTTTTGTGGGGCGTTTGTCCGGGGGCTTCAGCCATGCCGATCAGCGCCGTCACTCCTGGTGAACACCGGAAGTCTGCCGTGAGGAGTCAGCAGCCACCCTTGGTGGCTGGGAGGCCGGTAACAGAGGCCACGACTAAACTGCGCCAGAGATACTGGCAAAGTTTTTTGGACTGGACGGCCGAAGAGGGGATTGATTTTGGCGAGATACTAGCGGACGCCCAACACTGCGTCGAGGAGATCAATATAGTCATGACACGTTTTGGACGGGTTCTTCACAAACAGGGCAAGTCTTACAATCAGTATGCAGAGACCCTAAATTCTCTTGGGACCATAAAACCTGGGAAACGCAGACTGCTTCAACAGAGCTGGGATTTGGGATATGCTTGGGCGCGCAGTGAACCATCCAATCACCATGTAGCTATGCCAGCTGCCGTCCTCATAGCCATGATCACCACAGCCCTTTCGTGGGGCTGGACACTGGTTGCGGGATGTCTGGCACTTGGTTTTGGGGGTTTATTACGCCCTGGCGAAATCACAGCAGCACTGAGGCGAGACTTGCTTCTACCGAGGGATGTTGTTTTTTCAGTGAATTTTTGCCTGTTATCTGTGAGAGAGCCCAAGAGCAGATACACTTACGCGAGGCATCAGTCCGCAAAAGTTGATGCTGCAGACCTACTAACTGTCATTGACCTAGCATTCAGAAGTTTGGAATCAAATCAGAGGCTCTGGCCTTTTAGCCCACAAACACTGAGGAACAGGTTCAAAGCTTTGCTAACTGCTTTGACTTTACCAATAAGGACTACACCAGAACTTCGAATGCTAGATCTGGGATCACTCCGCAGTGGAGGGGCTACTTACATAATCCTCATGACTGAAGATTCGGAACTCTGCAGACGACGTGGTAGATGGTCGTCAATGAAGATGATGGATATCTACGTCCAGGAAACGATTGCCTTACAGTAAATGAAGATGATTCCAGAATCAGCCAGACTTCAGGTACTACAAGTGGCTTCGTTGTTCCACCAAGTTTTGAGTCGATCCATCGTTTTTTCTGACGCCATCATTCCTGAGACAATTTGGTTTTTTCTTCACTCCAAATGAAAGACGCTTTACGCTGGTGAAAATGGGCAAAATGTTGGGAGTCTTTTAGGCAGCCATAGCCTCTAACTTCGAGCAGACTGGAGATACTGGAGACAAGCATGGCAGTGCATTTCAGTCTTTGTCGAACTTGGGCATAAGGCAGCCCTGTAGATCTTTCACACTCAGCGGATGAAAAAGAGGCGGAATGTTGAACTGATGACACTATCTGTGATTCATGGATCTCTTTTCACGCTCAAGCTCTACCCAACGCCCACAGCCGCCCATCATTTGGAGGGAGTCTTTTAGGCAGCCATAGCCTCTAACTTCGAGCAGACTGGAGATACTGGAGACAAGCATGGCAGTGCATTTCAGTCTTTGTCGAACTTGGGCATAAGGCAGCCCTGTGGATCTTTCACACTCAGCGGATGAAAAAAGGGCGGAATGTTGAACTGATATATAACTATATATATATATAACTATATATATATATAACTATATATATATAACTATATACAGATATATAACTATATATTTATACCGCGCTTTAATAGGGTAAAGATGTGGATTTCACCAACAACGATGGGGAATGATGTACGATCATTGGGATATTGCCATTGTACTTGGTGGATTTGAAGCAATAGTATATGGGGGTATTCTCAGGACGCTGATCTAACCAACAAAGGTCGACGGTCATCAAACATGGCGGGCCGCTGGGAAATCCCCGAACTAAATGTAAGTTTGTTTATGGGAAATCATCTATAAACATTATAAACGGTAAAAAAAAAAAGGATATAATTGGGATATGACTGATATGACTGATATTACCATGTTTTTCTGGTGGGGAATCCAACCATAGTAAGGTGTATGTATATTTTAAGAGACAACTTATGGTGGATTTTTTTCACCATGGAATTGATGACTAGAGATTTCACCGGAGAATTTTTTGGGGACATGAGAATGTCGCCTCCAGTAAACAGGGCCCCTCTGGTAATGGCTAACAGTTTGCTATTGAACATGGCCATTTATAGTTGATTTAACCATTAAAACATGGTGATTTTCCATAGTTATGTAAGTTATGTAAATGTTTACCAGAGGGTACAAGGGGTGGGAAATTGGTGCTTTGACTTGTTGATTTAACTACCCCTTTTTAGGTGCATTCTGGATATTGGGAGTATGCTCCAAGCAGAAAAACCATTTGGAATGATCGACTGTCATGGTGGATTTTCCTAATATCTATGTTAGTTGACTTTTCCAGTGGGACAACTGGATCTGGGGATGGTCAAAAAAGGGTAATTTTCAACATGGCCCAATGGAACAGCCGCTGGATGATTTTCCTGCTCAGATGCCATATTTTAAGTAGGAGATTTCCCAGCCATGTTTGATTCCAGAGCATCTCGATCATGGAACTGGGAACATGTCTGACCCAGACAACATCAATTTAGGGGGGTACACCACGGCAGGGCAGCTCCAGCCAATAGCAAACCTCATGTCTACTATATTTCGGGGTAAAAATATGGGTACTTTGGCGCAACATGATTCTCTTGGGTGCATTCATGGGATACTTTCATCACAAGGAATACAGTATATTTAACCACAATCCTATTCGACGAATTGGATGCCACATTCACTGCATCAGAAATTCATTATGGGATGATCGGATTATGGATGAATCTTGGGACTAAGAACGAGATGAAATGTGAAAAACCCAATGATATCCAGCAATGTTCATTGGTATTTAAGGGTAGATAATTGACAAGTTCGCATACTTTTTCTTTCCGGATATACTTTTAAGTACCTCCAAATGTAAATTTGGGTAGAATAGAAGTTCAGGCATATCGGGGAAGGTTGATTATGGGGCTTACCAAATTACTGCAGGACGGATTTTGAGGGTTCAACATCACTTGACATGGCGGAAAAACTTGTTCAAATCTGGGTGGTTAGGCCCCTAAAAAGGTGATGTTTACAAAATGAAGATGAGAACTATGTGGCTGGTGAAAAAAATGGACACACCCTGGGTTGCTCAAGGGTGTATGTGTGTGTATGTGATGGCAGAACTTGCTGGATTATGGTGGTTTCTTGTGGGGGGTTCATACTACAATTCTGAAGAGATTGGCGATCATTTGTGGATGACACGGGTTGGGACAATTCCCCAACTTCAGAAGTTGCTGGCGCAGGCCCAAACAGCTTCCATTGTAGAAAGTTTGCTCTTCAGAGAAAAAAGTAGAACACATACGGAAAAAGTCAGTGGATCCATATACATTTGCCCACTTTCTTTGTGAAGATGTTGGAGCATCCGCCACAAACATCCATTGGATGGTGGAAAGGTGTCCAAGACCCTGGTGTGAAGTGATTTTGGGCGTCCTGAATTTGGGGAGGTCTATGTAGAAATTCCACAGCTGGTCAACAGATGACGTGAGAATATGTTGGATTAATTGCTACACACCTTGATGATACCAACTATCATCACAGGTCGGGGTTTGGGACACTCCTTAGGCGTTTCTGCATGCCTAAAATACCAACTCTTGTTGGATGTGGAGCTATTGACATCCTTAATTTGTGAAATGCGTACCACTCTGGGGGTGCATCCCATTTAGTATATGAGCAGGTAATCGTCCACATTTGTCTATGTATATACAACCCATGTATCAGTATCAGTGAGTATCTTCGAAAATATTGCGCGGTAATGTGGTTAAAACAATTTCATATCAATTTCATAAACCATCCCCAGTCATCACCATTTTT